GACAGCCTTCCAAGCCGCAACATTCAGCGCGTGGGAATAGATCATAGAACATTGGATTAATTACAGGAAGAATAATGATGGCATTTTGGGCAATGGCTGACGCGGCGTGCCACCACAGACATGTTCGGCAGTAGTTACGTTCGATGTGCTATCTTATAAAACGTTAATTGAAATCTTTTGGATGTGGCTTTGACTCGAAAGTATTACAAAAGTGGGGATGCAATACTAACTATCCTGCGGCATAATCTCCAGATATTTCATTCCTTCCAGGATGTCAGATTTGAATGAACTTTTTTCGCCGTCTGAAAAAACTACACTTTATAAAAATGGCCAATAATAATGTTACTAAAATTATCTAGATATTTCTTAGTGAATTTCAATGCCCTCATAATTTCCATAGTGTTTCCTTGAAGACGGGCACAGGATTATTCTCTCCAATACATTTTGCCACACCTGCCGCTATATTTGCCGCAGTCAGAGTTTATGAACTACATGTTGTGCGCATTTCATCGAAAGACCATCACACACTTCCCTACGCCGTTAGGATTAAGTCAAAAAGGAAACATAAAATCGTGCAATGCATATGGAACAGGTTGTAGGCTTTATAAGAAGCATCGATAGACGTGATGATGCAATGCCCTATGAAGGAATCTTTTACGGTCCTAAAAATCTCCTAGTTAAAAGCCCTTTTCAAACTAAAAGATACTCCCATCCCTACTAGCAAATATTGCGAAGACGCAATTTGCTTCCAAACGAACACAATATGTAGTATGTTTGTTCGTGTTTTCTACAAGATATAATGGGATTTATTAGGATATTGGAAATCAATGGGACACTTTTATACTCTTTAAATGGTCATTATAACAGATTGTAGTTTTTGGAGTCGACCGAAATGAGGTTCATTCAAATGCTGACATCAAGCTTTTACAGGAATATTTTAGGATGAAACTGTACGATGATGAGTGTTACAACAGGACTTAAGTGATTTTTTGAATCGAAGCATATTTTAGAATTTTGACTAACATTTCATGAGACGACACATCTCCTGTATGCGCTCGCCCATGCGCCGGTAAACGCATGTAATGAGCTAATGTGACCTCTAATGTTATTTGCTACTAAATGAGTAAAGGAATAGGTATTTTTGTGCCTGTGTTCTATAAAATATATTTGAATTTATGAGGATATCAAAAATGGATGAGAAGAATTCATAGTTCAGCGCATCTGCAGAGGCGCTCATTTTAGTTGCCCGTACAAACATTTGCACGGACCGAGTATGAGAGAGCTAGACATGTTCCATTGGGATCCAATTCCTTTATAGGATCAAGTATATTTTATTGAAAACCTACGCGAATCTACCCTTATATTCATTTTGTAACAAAGTACTCGTTTCTAAAATTCCGTATTTGAAGATACACAATCTCAGTGTTTAAAAGGGTTTATGACAAAGAAGCACTTTATGCAGTATGAGGCCGTAAATTTCATAATAGCTTTGCCGCAATTTTTTTATAAATAGTTGTATTGAAATCTATGCTCTTCTAGACTAGCGTGGTAATAATACAACAACATGGCTCGGAAAACGTTTTCAAATATTTTGTCATAAATAATAATGGGACCTCTCGCCCATGGACATCGCTTCCTTGTCAACAGTTTACATCATCAACGACCGTTATTAGAAGTTTGGTCGCATTGACAAGAAGTAAGGTGGTCGAAAAACAAAGAAAATTCGAACCTTTCGTCTTATAAGGGCTGTAAGGAATCGCATTCGTTACGGTCCACTCCAAAAGCGAAGGCTAAATCAAGTGTTAGAACAAAGAAGCATCTCGGTACTGGGGCTGTGAAAGAGAACAGACTGAAAAGAAGTAACAGAATCATAAGCTTCCTCAAAAAGGACCACACTCGGCGCTTTACTCCGACGAAGAGTTCTTCACGGTCAATTTGGTGTCCAGCGGTCGAACAGATCGCTACCCAAGTCCTCTGGAGTTCAACGAGGTATCTGAGAATGTTGAGTAAAAGCTTTAGACCAAAATTCCTGCGTCTGTGTTAGTAGTTGGCCTTATTGCCACAGACGGTAAAGTCATGTCCCCTGTGTTAATCAAGGCCGGGGTCAAAATGAACACAATCGTGTGACTAGACGCTCTTCAGAAGCATGCCAATCCTTGGATAGATTTCAACTACACTCCAGACGACAATCTGGACCTCCAGCAAGATGGTGCGCCTCCGCATGCGTCACGGAAGACACAGAAGTGACTGGAAGACTACATGCCTCATTTCTGGCTAAAGGATATGTGGCCACCATCCTCACTAGACTGAAATCCCCTCAACCGCAGCATTTGTACGTATGTCGAGGAAAGGGCCTGCAGCACGCCCCACGAAGGCCTGCACTGCCAGAGAGTGGAACAAGATTTCGCCGAAGTACATCAGCAGTACGTGCGCTAAGTTCACACCGAGAATGGACGAGGTCATGGCCAACAACAACTCTCATACGGAATAGTTCCTTTCTAATACGAATTTGAGTCTTTTTAATGTAAATTACAATCATTTCTCCAGTTACGTGTCCTTGAGTTGGGTCAGGCTGCACTTCGGAACAGTCAAATTACAAAATTTACGGCCGCATACGTTACCTGCAAAATATCCAAACAAAAGCTTTGTGACTGTACTTTTCTTAGTGTTTACTTCGAAGTACAAAGCATTGCATAAATTCATTGTGAAAGATTACTAGCTCCACCTGATGTCTTTTTAATGTCATAAGGGAATTTTTATTTTTCCTACCTTGAGGGTATACAGCTTGTAGTTCGAAAAATCTAAACGAAAATGAAGCGGCCGGTAGGTTTCAAATTATTCGGGCATTTAAACAATTTGCGCATGCAAAGTTACCCTTCCGTTAGTTCAGAAGTTTAAGTGGAGGGTATATGTTACAAATTGAGTACAGGAAAAGACCCTTGCGCATGTTTTCTGCAAAACATGCCTGCATTCAATAAAGCATCGGAAATCAATGAATAATAAAAATCGTGCTAGTCACGTGATCCGCTTTTAGCAGGCGACTGGAAATAAACGTATTCAACAGTCGGAATTGTGCTCTGGCTGAAGTACCTTGGGATTAGGTTGTCCGATGTTCAAGATTATGACCTCTTTTGGATATTCCTTTCTAACCGCGATCATATTTCGCAACTTCGGGTTCCATTTCAAGGGACACGCCACCTACTGTAGACAAGT